GCAAGGCATCCTTAACGTTACTGATGCCTTAAGTCGGCACCCTTGTCTGCATGCAGCCATTCTGTCAGTCGTTACACGCAGCCGTGCTGCAGCACCCGTTGTGCCCTCTGAACTTGTGCAACGACTTCGAGCTGCCTATGCCACGGATCCCTGGTTTTCCGATAACCACAATACTGGCCATTTAACCCGTAACAGTGGCCTTTGGATCCGCACTGAGGGTACTTTTCGGCAGGTTGTCGTTCCGAATGATGACTTGCTGCGTCATGATCTTCTGTCACGTTTTCATGACGACCCGCTGGCTGGGCACCCTGGCTGCACCCGTCTGGTCGAGGTTCTCCGTCGTCAATTCTGGTGGCCTCGGATGGCTAAGGACGCCGAGAACTATGTCCAGAACTGTGAGCTGTGCCAACGCAATAAAGTCCTGTCTGGTAAGCCCCACGGCCTCCTGTGTCCCTTGCCTGTGCCGGCCGCCCCTTTGGAAAAGTGTTACCATGGACTTTATTGTAGCTGTGCCCAAAACTGAGGGGGGATTCGATGCCGTTTTGGTCATGGTAGACCGACTCACGAAAATGGTGCACCTGGCACCTACGGTATCATCCTGCACAGCTGAGCAAACTGCACGTCTGTTCTTTGACAACATAGTGCATTTGCATGGTGTCCCCAAGAACGTTGTGACCGACCGCGGATCGCAATTTGCCAGCAGATTTTGGGGCACCCTGGGTGATCTGTTAGGCATGCGTGTTAACCTGAGCACCGCCTATCACCCACAGACTGATGGACAGACAGAACGTACGAATCGCACTCTTGGCGATATGTTGTGCAACTATGCCGGACGTACGCCTTCTGTCTGGGACACATATCTAACTGCTGCTGAATTCGCGATTAATAATGCTGTGAATCGCGCGACTGGCAAAAGTCCGTTTTTCCTGAATTACGGATACAACCCTGCCTTGCCTGTTTGGCGGGAGTTGGACGTCAACTTGCCTGCAGCAAAGACGTTTGCCAAGTCCTTTGTGTCCCGACTGACTGATGCTAAATCTTGCCTTGAAGCTGCACAGCAACGTACGGCGGACTACTTTAACAAATCCCGACGTGCCATCACCTTCTCGCAGGGCCAGTTGGTGATGCTGAGCACTAAGAACCTGAGGTCCCTAGCGGATGGTTCTCGTAAGCTTTTACCTCGTTGGGTGGGACCATTTCCTGTCGTTCGCATGGTTGGGTCTACTGCAGTTGAGCTGCAACTACCACCTGACATGCGCATCCATCCCACATTCCATGTCTCTCTAGTCCGACCTTTCCGTACTACTGACTCTGCTGCTGCGCTTCAGCCAAAACCTGCTCCTACTGTCACGGAGCCAGGACCAGTTACTTGGCTTTCAGGCAAGCAGACATTTTACGCGGTTGAACGGATACTGGATTACCGTTCCCGAAAAGTAGGCAGAAACCGCCGCCGTAAGCGCACTGTGCACGAGTATCTTGTCAAATGGGTTGGGTACTCGGCTGAGCACAACAGTTGGGAACCAGAAGCTAACTTTACCCCTGACCTAAAACCTCTGCTGGAAGAAGCACGGCAACGAGCACGGGCAAGGTAAGATTTGCGGGTTAAAGGTAAGTGTTTTAACTCCCGCGCGTTTTTGGCCCGATTTTTGCTCTGCCAGTTTCTTGCCATGCATCGAGGACGCTGCATCTAGAGGGGGGATAGTTGTTGTATTCCGCTTCTTAAATCTGGGTCCAAACTGATACATTTTCTGTCTAATTTTTCCTTTCTCGCTTGGCGCGGTTACTGGACAAGTTCGCTGGAACTAACTGAATTCCAACTGCCTATTTTGCCGCTTTTTCTGTCAGATCTTTATGGCTCCGACCTCTGGGTCAGACGGCGAGCGGGACGCTGTCATGGATGCCTACAAGTAAACGCCGCCTCAGGCGGAAGTCCATACTTGCAGAAGTATGGGCGGGGGTCGTAGCACAGGCTACGACTGGGACGCTGGTCCCTGGCTCGCGGAGCCCCGTCATCGATTGGAAGCATGGATCAACGGTACGCCATTCCGGACTGGACCGCGCCATTTCGGAATTGGCTGTACGATTCATGGGATGGCCGCATCCTCCGCTATTTAAGCGGGTGAAACTCTTCCAAATCGGTGTCTTCCGACGCCACCATCCAGTTGTGGTTTAGTAAGATACAACACATATGCTTGCAGATCGCATATGCTTGCAGATCGCATATGCTTGCAGATCGCATATGCTTGCAGATCGCATATGCTTGCAGATCGCATATGGCATACGCTTGCAGATCGCACATCCTTGCATATTGCATATTGCCCATGCTTGCATATGCAATATCCTTGCATATCGCGCATGCTTGCATATTGCGCATGCTTGCATATTCCAAATGCTTGCATATTGCAAATGCTTGCAGATCGCATATGCATGCAGATTGCATATGCTTGCAGATTGCATATATGGCGCAGATCGCATATGCTTGCAGACTGCATCTGTTTGCAGACTGCATCTGCTTGCAGATCGCATATGCTTGCAGATCGCATATACTTGCATATTGCATATGCTTGCAGATCGCATATGCTTGCAGATTGCATATATGGCGCAGATCGCATATGCTTGCAGTTCGCATATGGCATATGCTTGCAGATCGCATATGGCATATGCTTGCAGATCGCATATGGCATATGCTTGCAGGTGGCATATGCTTGCAGATCGCATATGCTTATAGATCACAGCACAGCATAGCATAGCATAGCATAGCATAGCATAGCATAGCGCAGCATAGCATAGCATAGCATAGCATAGCGCAGCATAGCATAGCATAGCATAACATAACATAGCGCAGCATAGCATAGCATAGCATAGCGCAGCATAGCATAACACAGCGCAGCATAGCATAGCATATCATAGCATAGCGCAGCATAGCATTGCAGATCGCCTATGCTTGCAGACCGCATAATGCATATGCTTGCAGATCGCATATCGCATATGCTTGCATATCGCATATGCTTGCAGATCGCATATGCTTGCAGATCGCATATGCTTGCAGATCGCATATGCTTGCAGATCGCAAATGCTTGCATTTGGCAGATGCTTGCATTTGGCATATGCTTGCAGATCGCATATGGCATATGCTTGCAGATCGCATATGCGTGCAGATCGCATATGGCACATGCTTGCATAATGCAGATGCATGCGCATATGTATAACATATCGCATATCGTATATTGCATATCGCATATTGCATATTGCATATCGCATATTGCATATTGCATATCGCATATTGCATATTGCATATTGCATATCGCATATTGCATATTGCATATCGCATATCGCATATTGCATATTGCATATCGCATATTGCATATTGCACATCGCATATCGCATATTGCATATCGCATATTGCATATCCCATATCGCTGCATATGGCATATCGCATATCACATACCGCATATCGCATATCGCAAATTGCATGCATATCGCTGCATATCGCATATCGCTGCATATCGCTGCATATTGCATATCGCATATACATATATGCATATATGCACATATATGAAAATGAAACATAAAACATAATCGCGGTAGGGATCGAACCGGCGACCTTCCGATCTTTACGGCGCTGTCTTAAGCGCGTACGGCACGCTCCCGACCCGGAATTTCCAAAACGCTCCGGACAACCGGACAACCGGACAACCATCGAACTCAGGATAGGCCTCCGCTCATAACATATGAGCTACGGCGACTACGTAGTCGCTACGGCTACGTAGTCGCTACGGCTACGGACGGCGAATCGGCCTAAGGCCTCCGCTAGACTACTACGTAGTCGCTACGGCTACGGACGGACGGACGGACGCCGACTCGGCCTAAGGCCTCCGCTAGACTACTACGTAGTCGCTACGGCTATGAGCTACGGCGATAGGTGAGAACGGTATTAATGTGGGGAAGCAGTGGCGTGGACTCAGTTACATTACATCTGTGACGGAGGGTGGCTTAGTAGCAAGCCACAGTCAGCAGTGTCGTAGCAGAAGGCATTCTCGAGGTTCACATCCGGCATCCAACAGCATCGACCCATAACAGCAAGAGAGGCAGTTCCTCACCGCAGGCTGCCATGTAAGAAGTTGCACAATCACACAACAGCAGGCATGCGATAACTTTAATTCGAAGCCTGAGCGTCAAATTGATTCGCAGATGTGAAAGAACACAAACATTTCTAGGTTCACAGTCTCAGCGCGTGGTAACGATCTTGCGGACGTTCTCAAGGCTCGCAATGGTCAGATCCGTGCCCTGCAGCTTTACATGCAGATCTGCCGTGAAAGCCGCATTGACGGCTTCGCAGGCGGAGGTGATGTCGTCCGGCGTGGTGTCGGCGAGTGGGGTGAATGAACGGGCTGCACTCCATTCCATCCAGTTCTGAGCCACGTTGGCGGTAGTGAGTCAGAGCCGTCACAGCAGCACCCGGCTGCTCCGGATTGTCATTGTGAAAAACCAGTAGGGTATCAGCTGCTGCTTCCAAGCTGTTGATGTTATCATGGTCATCACGGAGCACAATGGCCATGAACAGGCCTGTGCTCAGGAATGTGTTCTCATACGTGGTCTTGAACGTTTCGCGAAACGTTCGGCACGATTGTGTCCTGCCAACTTGAAGGACGCCATGGCCATTCCGATGGTCAGGCTGGCTGTCGTACGGTTCGCCGCGGAGATAAGGTTTCCGATGCCCTTGCATCGGTCGTCGTGGGCGGCTGCGGGGTCTCCACCACCAGCAGCTGCAGTGTCAAGGAAGTGGCGGCTGATCATGATCGTGCGGTTCAGCCATGTGACTTGGCTCTGCGACGTGGCCTTGGCGACATACTTGGTGGCATAGTGCGTGGTTCGGTGGGCCACAACCTCTGCTTGCACAAGGATGTCCTCCAGGACCTCGGGGTCACACATGGGGACCGGCAGTACAAGCTGTTCCTCCACTGTTGCGATGTACTGACGGTCGAGCTCACAGGCCAGCGTGAAGACGTTGTTGCAGCCCAGCACCATTGTGACAGCGGGGCAATGGGGCACAATGTTGGGGCCGTATCGGGGCAGAACGAACAGGCCGCTGTCGCCCACCCACTTGAACTCACACCGGATGTGGCGTGGGTAGGCCATGCCGCAGTCTCCATCCACGCCTGCACAGCCGAAGCGTTTGCAGGTGTCGGTGTGTTTGTGGGTGCAGGACCCCACGACACCCGCCACAAGGTGCTGGGTGCAGCGTTCCAAGCACACTTTGGGTGTAAAGGTATCAGTGGCTTCACCCCCGGTCCCACATGGCTTGCCACGGGCGACAATGGCAAAGTCATACGCGGGTGCCGGCATGGATCCATCTGGCTGAAGCGCGCGGATGGCTGGGGGGCGGCCAGCGGACGCTGCGGGGGGGGCTGGCTGGACTCCATTGTCACCATTGCCAATGTCTTCATCTGTGCCCGAGGCGCTGCCAGGTTCTGCTTGAGTCAGGCCGTCATCCTCTTCTGCAGTAGCATCTGTCATGCTGTCATCACCAGAATTCGTTGCTGCCGTTGATGTTTCCATGGGCGTCGGTGCAACTGCCGTTGGTGTGGTGGGTGCAGCCGTGACCAGGGGTGTCTGCCAGAAGACTCGTCGCTCTTTGTCCTGAATGTCGTAGTACGGCTCAGGCAGCCACATGCTGCAGAGGGCGTGTGCCAGCACCAGAGTGCGGCAGTTGGGCCCCTCAAACAGGGCCCGCATTTTGTCCACGGTATCGCTGCCAGGTGCACCATGCCGTGCAAGTGCAGGGCGAGGCGTCCACTCTGCTCCACCTTGATGCAGATGTGGAACACGGTGCCACAGAAGCAGTCGGGGTTGCTCTGCCGCTTGTCGCCAGGCTTGAAACCAAAAAGGATGTCCATGAAGGCGAGCTTAACCGTGTTGAGGAGTGCTTGGCTGGTGTAGGGGTTGTTTTGCACCCGCCGCCACTTGTCCATGACACGCTCCTCCCGCAACGGAGCACCATCCTCGCCAAATTCCAAAAATTGCCCAGCGGCCACGACGGACTTAATCTCGCTGCAGCAGGTGCAGACACAGGAGCCATGTTGTTTTTGACAGTGGCATAAAGCTGTTCGGCGACTCGGATCTGTACCCTAAACCCTAAACCTTAAACCCTAACAGAAGCTGTTAAGGGAATTACAGTGGGCAGAGGCTGACCCGCAGGAACATCTTGCACATGTTCCGGCCATGAAGCTGTACTGCTGTCTAACCAGGCACCCATACGAGGCTTGGTGGGGTTTGTCGGCCACCTGAAACCCAGAAGGCAGCATCCAAAACTGCCTCCACAAGGCTACCCCTGCTGCGGCGGGTGTGTTGTGGTGTGTGCTCCTCAGATGACTGTTGCCGAATCACACGGGCTTGATGCTTTCGAGCTGCGTCCACTGTTTGGTCTGCCGCCACTTGCTCAGGTGTTCGGTTGGCTCGCACCTCTGCTACCCGAGCTGCATGTGCTGCTCGATGCGTGGCCACTTGCTCAGGCGTTCGGTTGGCTCGCGCCTCCGACCACCGCGCCCACCGAGCAGTAGCTACTGCTCGGTCCGCCGCCACTTGCTCAGGTGTCCGGTTGGCTCGTGCATCTGCCCATCACGCTGCAGCTGCTGCTCGATCCGCCGCCACTTGCTCAGGCGTCCAGTTGGCTCGCGCCTGCACCTTTCTGGTTGCATCCGCACTGGACAGCTGGGGTGTCGGGGGGGAAGGTGTGGCTTGAGTCCGGCCTGTCAAGCTCAGAAGCCACGAGCCTCCACCTGCAACTGTACCTAACCGCCGACGTCCTGCATGATGTCAGGAAGAGGATTACTAGTCTACAGCCCATGCAGGAGATGGAGCAACATCACGGGCATCAGTCTCAACCAGGACTCCTTACCGGAACCAGAATTGTCCATAGAAATGGCCGGTCAGACTGATGTCGCGACAGGTTATCCTCCTATCCTCAAGGAATGCAGTTGAGGGCCAATGGAACACAGTACATTGATACAATATGGATGTATGTTGCGCAGCACCGCTGTTTTGTAGAATTTTTTCCTGAATCCGTATGATAAATTTTATCCTGGATCCGTTTGACAAAATTGATAAATGCACTCGAGGGCCAATGGCACACATTACTGCGCGATTTCACGTCATTTTGTGGCGGAGCCGTTGTAGTCTAGTTTTCCACTGCAAGTCCTGTCCCACAGTGGAACTACATGGATCCCACAGCCACGCCCAGGCGTACCCGGTTATCCTAATATTTTGTGATAAACGTTTAACCTTGCAAGTTCAAGTCGAACAACACAACTACGCGCGTCTGTTGTTCGTTACCCACCACCGCACCCAGTCGTCCCCATGGCCTGATGGCCCAGTATCCGTGTGTCCCCGCCCACATGTTCACGGTACACATGCACGCGTCCACGCTTCATGCACACGCCCATGTTACATCCTCATGTCCCGCGTCCACGCGTCCACGCGTCCATGCTACATCCACGTGTGGCTACATCCACGGTGCCACGGTCCCATGTGCCCACGTGCCCACACGCTCACGCGTCCATGTGCCCTTGCATCCTCGCGTCCTCACGTCCTGGTGTCCTCGCGTCCTCGCATCCTCGCGTGCAACTCGCGTGCGACCCGTGATTTGAACCCGCGACCTGTCGTCCTCGCGTCCTCGCGTTTCGGTGTGCAACTCGAAATTCGCGGAGTGCGACTCGAACCCGCGACCTCTGATTGTGAAGAGGGGGCGCGCTAACGGAAAACGCAAAGCTCCGGAACCATCCAATCGAGCGCGACTTTCCAATGAGCTCCGGACGCGAGCCGGTCACGGACGCGATTCAGAGATGCCTTCCCTCCGCTTCGCTCTTCGCTGCGCTACGAGAAGCTACGGTGACAAGCATCGAACTCGGGATAGGCCTCCGCTCATAACATATGAGCTACGGCGACCAAAAGGGACACAGACAGACACGGACGCGCCCCGCAGCCTAAGGTCTCCGTCCCGACGACGGAACGACTAAACGTCGTCCGTCTAACGTCGGGACTACGACGACGGACGTTAAGCTGGGGTAAGGTCTCCGTCCCGACGACGGAACGACTAAACGTCGTCCGTCTAACGTCGGGACTACGACTACGGACGCGCCCCGCAGCCTAAGGTCTCCGTCCCGACG